AGAGCACCTGGCAAAAACCCACATGAGCAGAAGGAGAACAGAGAAACTCTATATATTTAGCATCCCAGGTCCAGAATACCCCAGGCCCCCAGTGCTGTGAGGCAGCAGTAATAATCATTGCCACCCTATCATTATAACGTTTATTTTTTCAAAACAAATCCTAATCCTACAGATTTATATAAAAAGGATCCATTATACAGTATCACTCATTCAGCACTAGTGCAGATCAAAATTACAGCTAGTTCAGACTGTGTACATCATAATCAAGGAAGCTATGGACATGAGTCTCACTGGAGTTTTCATGCAGATGAGCGTGAACAACAAATCGCAGCCCAAGGTGATCATGAGAAACCATCGCTGAAAACAGCATCTGTTTCTCACAGTCCCAGCAGAATCAGTGGCTTTGAAGGCAAGGTGATGAAAAGGGGCCTGTTTTGGAAACTTAAATCACGTGGACAGAAACAGTGGGAGCAGACTGTCACATATACTCTGTGAACTACTTAAATAGAAAGTGAAAAGCACCAATCCATTGTAGCTTTATGTACTTGATTCAACATAAATCAGTAAATATCAGCAATTCAAATTCCCTTAGTTCCTTCACTCATGAACATGCCTGTATTCTGCAATAAAACACAAAGCTTCTTCATTAGGCAAGTCAAGCAGTCATTTTTTTTTAGCTGTGAAAACAGCCTCAGACCTCCAGCCATATCTACAGTACATCCTTTAGTACAAAGAGTTTAAATGCTCAAATTTCACATGCTTATCCATAATATAGCTGCCACTGCAACACATGCACACACCTGTTAAATGCAAAGATCTGTAGACTGAGGATTCACCACTAATCATGACAGTGTCATATTCTCTTGAGAAGATCTGCTTTGCCTTTCAACATTATGTTAGACAGGATCTCGGTCCTTAGTTTTCCTTTGGGCAAACTATAAGCAAATGTGTCATGATTTTTTTTTTGTAGAAAAATGTAGACTTCCGGATATTCTGTTTCTATTAATAACCTCACCCTGCTGTAATCCAAACAGTGATACAGTAAAACTAGACTGCCTTCCAGAAATCACCTACTGTGTATAAAACTTGATTTCAGTTTCTTTTATCAATGCCAGATTTTAACAAAGACACACTTTCTCCTCAGTGTAACTGATTTGCCTAGATACTATTATCATGACAGAAATACTAATAATTATGATAAAATATACAAGTAGCGCTGTCCAAATAATTTGGGAACACCACATAATTATCCTTACATTATTAAATGAATAATTGCTTGTTAAATAATTGCCTGGCCAAATTCCCCATTGGCCCTTACCAATCATGGCCTCCTAATAATCCCCATCTATGAATTGGCTTCATTACTCTGCTCTCCTCCCCACTGATAGCTGATGTGTGGAGAGCGTTCTGGCGCACTGTTGGCTGCCGTCGCATCATCCAGGTGGATGCTGCACATTGGTGGTGGTGGAGGGGAGTCCCCATTACCTGTAAAGCGCTTTGAGTGGAGTGTCCAGAAAAAGTGCTATATAAGTGTAAGCAATTATTATTATTATTATTATTATTATTAAATGGTGCTACAAAAAGCCACAGAGAAGCATTGAGGATGGTACTACAGAAAGCAAGATATTGTGAAAATCTAGATGAACTCAGCTAGTAAGAAAATAGTTCAGGTGGGTAGCTGCGTCAGCATGCATAGGCTGCAAAGGAACAAGTAATAGGTTTATTCCATGCTGAAAAAAAGAAGAGAAGGAGGGCTGGGTTAATGAAGTAGTTACTCAAGATAAGAGTAATAACCATTGACTTGAAGATGTTTAATGTGGCTTTCAGCCATAAAAATGGGTACAAAACCAAAACAAGTAATTAAAAAGAGCAATAAGTCTTACTTCTGAGAGAAATACTGTTATGAGAACAAGACCAGTGCTGTTGGTCATGGATACTGACGCCAGCTTGCTCATTTGTGAAAGGGAACAGCATGCAAGAAGAAAGCAGATGGAGAAGACCCAGCAGTCTTCTCTGGAAGGAGAGCAATGTATGAGATCAAGAAGCTTGGATTGGTCCTGACGGTCAGACAGAATATTCCAACAGTGCAGTTCTGACTGAAAAGGGCTTTCGGACTACAGCAGGTCTCCTCTCCTGTCTAGCCAAGTGCATTGGGCATATGCAGCTGGGAAACCAGAGAGTGGGACAGCTGTATTCTCCCAGCCCTGATGTTGCAGGGTAGGAGGGCAGTTTGTTAGCTCATGTGTGGGTCTGCTGGTGTACCTTGGGTGAAGACCAGAGAGCAGGAGGTACACAGCTGGAAGGAATCTAACTCTGTGGAAGAAGATTACCAGGAGATGCCAGTCCAATTGTTGAAACATCTGGCATATCTCCAATACAGGGACTGAAAGAACTTGGCAGGAATGAGGATGTGTGAGACTTTGAGCTGCTGTGCGTGTAAAATGAGGAAAGAGAATAATGCTTGGAAGCTGTGTTAACTGTGGCTGGAGGCTGAGTGAGTAGTATGAAAGACAAAAAGAAACAGTGGAAGTGAGTTATGAGTGGGATAATCATGTACAGACAGGTCTAAAACAAGCTTATCAAGTGGTGTGAGGCCTGTCTACTATACCAATATAGATAATTTAAGGAATATCGGTATAAACCTCAGTGAGCTGCATGCTGTGCTGTGTATTGGAAAATGGTGCAAAAACAAGGTAAAACCACAACAAAATTGCAAAAATACCATGATACCAAATTCAACACTTGGGAATTTTTACCAGGGATAAATGTAGAAAGTATATATAATGCATATACCATAAAACCAGAAACCTTGCAGTAACTCAGAATGTGCAGACAGGTGAATTACACACAAAAGCTATCAAAATAGAGAGAGCAGCAGTGAGCTTGTCACAGAACTGATGGAATTACTACTAATGAGCCTCACTCTGTAAGTACTACCTCAGGCCATGCAGGTAGACAGATTCATGAATGTTTCAGTGATCTTTAACATATTATGTATACATTCAATTACCTATGATTTAACAGCATTTAGGCCAACGTGAAAGTATATAAAATCTACATACTGTCAATCAAAAAAATGTCAGGTCAAGGACAACCTGAAACTATATTTGAGGATGTTGCTGTTCATAGGTGGTTTGGTTAACTGAGCACATATGCCATATACTGTATATACTGTACTACATATGGTTAAGGCAGTACATATACTGTATGTGTCATGTAAATAGTGTTTTCAGCATGAATTTTAATGGAATTTAAATGCTCATATCTACTGAACTTTATTGTAATAGATATTATGTGAACAAATGAAATATTTCAACAAAATAACATTTCTTTGGTTGATGCTTTTACTCAGAAGATCTTCCATTTGTACAGATGGGCATTTTGCTAAAGAAATGTGCCTCAAGTAACTTGCTGAAGAGCACAACAAAAGTGTCCCATCTGGGATCTGAATTGACACCTTTCCAGTTAGTCCAGTGCCACACCTTTCTCCAGTCTTTCATTAGGGAAATAGTACTTCCAAAAAACTCTCTCTTATAATGAGTTTACTGCTATTTAACCTAAACCGACACTTATAAAGACATTTAATCCAGAGTCATTTGAGAGAAACTTCCAAATGGATAACGCCAACAATAACTTAGACAAATTCCAAAGAATGTACAGTATTCAACTGGGCTCCCTCTGAAGAAATTTAGTGCACCTAACTTTTTAACTATTTTAAAATACTACAAAAGACAAAACCTTACTAAATATTCTATTTTCTAATTTAATACATGTTGTTGTTTTAGGAAGTCCAACACAGAACTCAAAAGCAATTCCAAAATGTCCAGAAATAGCCCTTAATCTCAGTAGTGCCACTCAGCGCAGCAAGCAATTACAGTAGGCAATAGCTCACTGCCACAGGCAAAGACCATGCTGGAGCTACAGCAGAGCTGACAAAAAGAATGAATGAACATGATCTCTTCAGAAAATGTCATTAGTGTGCTTGGAAAGTGTCTACATACCAGGCTGGTGAAGGAAGAGGTTTGGCACACATGTATGGAGCCTGTTACCCCCTTTACACCAAACTGTACCAAATCAAAAAGTTGGACAGCTTTGCATGACAGTAAAATACTTGTGCATTTCTTTATTATTCAATGAACAGTTGCAGTGCATCTCTTTTGCAAGATCCTCTCTTCTGTTATCCAGACCTATGTAGTATTATGACAACTGGCATACGTGAAAAAAAAAATCATCTCAGTATCCTTGGGTGTGAAAGGCAGTGTCTGTCGTTTGAGTTCCTCTCCTGTATAATGTTTATAACTGCATGATCTGAAGCTCAGTAAAAACCCTTTCAAGGCTGTGAAAGGGTTTGTCTATATAATGCAAATTGCTTTAAATGATTAATCAAGAAGAGAGCTGTCAGACTAATGGATTCAACATCAGAGCAAGGCTCTTTTCATTTCAATTTGGAGTGCACCAATTAAAGCTTGATAAAGTAAACAATCTCTGTGATATTGTCTTCATTTGGTTTGGAGGGTACAGCCAATCAGTCAGCAGTTCTGACTGCCCTTGCTTAAAAGGTAATCAACAGGAATATCCCCAAGGCTATATGTGTATTAAAACATATTTCAGCTTCTCACAGATGACTACATATTCTGGCCCAAGAGTGCCTGCTGTTATCCAGTAAACTGTAGTTAAAATGAACCACCTTTCGAGCAAATAACATAGAAATACAAAAGTATATACAGTATATGAAAAGATATTCATATGTGTTTGTGATTAATTTGTGATTGCATTATTAACGATGGATGGTATAACCTTGTTGTATCGTTCCTCAAGGGTAAAGCCAAATACACTTGGGGTATTTTTTTTTCTCTTTTGCTTACAAGAAACATTATTCTCTGAGACACAAACACATTTTGACAAATGATACTCAAGCAGCATAAAGACAGACCTTTTTAAAAAGACCTCTAGTCACAGAACAGCCAAGAGAAAATTCAAATATGCGACTGGGCACTTACCATGACAGATATGTGTAGGATGTGCAGCTGCTCATCCATGATCTCTGATGGCTCCCGGATGGTGGGCTCTGTCACCTGGGACAGGTGTTCAGCACTGCTCATTGACACGTGGAAATAGAGGGTGCCATTCTCCAGCCACTGCTGCTTCCAGTGCACCAAAGAAATGTCCGCACTCGTTCCTGACATTTCTGCAATCAAAGAAACAAGTAATTGAATACTTCACCAATACTGGACAATTTCATATCCCATGCTAAAATCCCAATTCAAAACAAATCAAGATAGCAAGGACCATTGCAGCTGTGTTTTCATGTTCATGACTAAATTACAACACAATAACTGCAACAAAATCAAAGGATGTTAGAATCGAGCTAAAAGATTGGTTACCTTGAAATGTCTCATTGCAACCTACAGTGATTTGTGTCCAATGTTTTTTTTTTCTTTTCAGCAGAGACAAACCTTTACAATAAAGTATTTATTATTGAGAAACACAGAAGTATGAGACACATAAAAAGTGGATATCAGATAAACATAACTAGATTAAAACTCTTCCCTAAATTATTTAACAAAATCTTGCTTTTCTTTAAGATTATACAGTACATAGTGAGGAGCAGTCACTAGGTAGGTGGGTATTTAACTGGAAGAGTTGAAAATGTAGGTGGGCACTGCTGTCTGTGCCATGGAGCCAATGAAAGTGTCCACAAAAAGTATTGGGACAGAAAAGATTAAACTTATTTTTGGGTTTAAAGTCAAGCATTTTGTATTTTTTTTTATCAAAAGATTAATACGAACGAAAAGTACAATACACATTTTATTTGTGAGTAGTTCCTGGCACACATTTGATCATATTGAACACTTTGTATTCAGTCCAATTATTTCTAGTGACAATATCTGGCATAAACTGAAGTACTGGGACACATCACAATGAGATAAAGTCAGTATTTGGTCGATAATCTTTTTGAGACAATTGCATGAAGTCCATGACCCATTGAGATCACTATCCACATTATGTAATAATTTGAGATGCTCTGCCAATTCTTTGCATCAGCTGTTTTTGAGTTCTTTCCAATTTGGGGGTTTTTCATTCCCCAGTTTATTTCAATAGAATGTGCAATGCAGTCAAGTTAGATTTAAGGTTGTTACTGACTTGGCCAGTCTAACCAAGTCTACTTTTTCTCCAGCATTTTGGTTGCATTGGACTTATGTTTTCTGATCATTGTCATGTTGTATGATTTACAGTAGAACCACCCTTCATAAGAAATAAGAAATGTAGAAGTGATGTAAATGCTAAAGTATAAAAGAACTGCAGATGCTCCATTGAAGACCACCTCTTCTTTGAAGCACAGTATACTGTAGGTAATACTTAAAATGAATGTATCATTACTTGAAATGGCAAAGTACAGTATATTCTTGTTCTAATAAGATAAAGTATATGCATGGAATTACCCCAGAAAAACAGACACATTAGAATGTACTTATTCTTGTTTTCATATCTTGTTTTCATAATTCCAAACTGTTTGACTGTAAACAGTTGTGACTTTGCTGTCTCAGTGCTTCTGGAGGGCATATTACTTCACTGATCTCTACAGGAATATGCCTAGCTTTATAGATGAGCGCAAATTAAAGGCGTTATGGATGAAAGTGCCAAGAAAATAAATTAATTATTAATAAAGTAGGCATAAGGAGGTGCAAAGTTTATTTTTAAAATGTACAGCCACAGCCAAGGACAAAAGGTGTGTATCACCCTTTGGCAACTATCAGCAGAGCTTGGTTAATACAAAGCCTTTGTCCATAGTTGTACGTAGAAACAGATTATGATGTCTTTAGCAGCCTTCTATTGTATACATGTAAACACTGCTGGAAAAGGGCATCACAAAACTATTGCTACAGCACAACATGCAATAGAATTACGAGTGCAGCGATATACAACACCTTTCTGCAAGCTCCTGTGTCACAATTAAATATGGGTAAGTGATAAATTTGCAGGGCAACAGTAAAAGGCTGGTAAAAAAAAATCATCCTTTCACAATTCTGATAGGAATTACCTTATTAAAGGATTAAAGGACTTAAAAAGGCTATTTAAAATTCTGATGAGTCTATAGATATGTGTGGCATTTTTATTATTTCCAATTAACCCAATGGAACATCTCTCCTTTTTTCTTTCTCCTTGTCAATGTGCTCTTTATGGCTGTACTCCTAATCAGGCACATCTTGAAAACGGTGTATTATCTTTAAACAATGAGGCTAATGATCACTCAGCTGCAGTATGGGTGCCATTAAAAAAATAATAAAAGAAAGCTTTTTAAGTCCCCCATACAATGAAATCTGAGGCTTTAACAGTGTGTCTGACAGTGAAAGGTTTGAAGGTGACACTGCAGTGTTGTGATTATTCCTCCTTAAAAAAAGCACACATATACAATTTAAAACAAACATAAATGTGAATTCATAAATGCCATACAAAGCAAACAATTGCAGAATTTACCACCATTAATCACACTGCAATTCTCTTAGGCCATTGTTTACAATGGGTATTGCAGGCATATTTAGCATCTTTACAGACAGCATTCATTTTATGCCTCTGTGAGAACAATTACACCTAACATTTAAGAAATATATAATAAGAACGTAATGTGCTTTTATTCAATGATGCTGTGAAATGGGTTTCAGTCTTAAAAACTCTTGTTCCAGACTTCAAACAACTTTATGATGCATTTGCTTGTTGACACACACAATTATTGTCGCACAGAGATTACAGGCAAATGCTTGCAGGAAATTGAATTTGGGGTAATGTCTTAACAATAAGAATGTTAATTGGTTTTTATCGCTTTTCATGGGAGGAGAATAATATACCATGTTGGACAAAAATGGAGCTACTGAAGTATTTGCTAAAATATATATTAGGAAAAAATGCATTTTACAATGCAGTATAGCAACATGTATTGCTAGATTTACAGAAAGCACTATGCATTTCTTCATTTGCCCATTGTAGAGCCCACAATGATCATAAAAAATAGTAAATCAATGGCAGCAATTGTAAAAAAAAAAAAACTTCATTTCCAACCTATAGTAGATTTAAAAGGTGCTTCTACTTCTATGTGACTCTGCAGACTCTTCCCATCACAAATCTTCAGGAGCACATAATACCAAATACTAAATAACGAAGCTATACCCTACTATTGAATTACCCATACATAATGTTTCATTTGTCATCGAATTCATAGGGAAAAAAAATACAATACAGCCTTTTAACTTGGTCTGATTCTCAACATCCACCATTTTCTCATTAAAGAAACATTATTTTCTAACCCTGAATATTTATTTACATTTCATTCCTTTAGGTAGAGGACTGCTTTATCTTTGTGCTGTAATCATGAATCAACACAAGTCACTTGAAATTCTAAAGATTCCTTTATATATATATATTGTATCTGCAGCACTGCAGCCCAAATGGTAATCACAAATTCATGCAAAAAAAAAACAGAAAAACACAATTTTTAATAAAACATGTTTCTAAAAATGTACATTCTCTGTCAAATTAAACAGGTCCACAGCATTTCTACAGCTTCTGTAACTTAATTTTGAATGTAATTATCAAATATTTTACATTTAAGATTTCAGGATGTTTGAGCATGGGCTCAAGCCTTCTAAACTAGTGATAAACATACAGTATCTCTCGATAGGCCCAACAACATATTCAAGAGATATATGACATATGATATACAGGTATGGTTTATATAAATATGATAAAAGTAGATATATTTCTACTGTAATGTTTTAGAAAATGCTGAATAATATTTAAATAGAGAAACTATTACTTCAGGAATTTATGGACTTGATATGATATATTTAAGGAATATATTTTACATTGCACCGCTATTACAAATAATATAGTGCATAATGATACTGAGAATACAGAAATGCTAGGAGTGATTAAATTCTTTTCACCAATACCTGAACTGAAACACAGAAAATTAAACTTCACTTCAAAGGCTGATATTTTTATATAAGTGTTGAATACTGCAGTGAAACAGATGGAGAAATAACTCTGCTTATATTGAACAGCTATCAGCTTCCAGTGCTACTCCTCCAGCACAATAAAAGTGCAATGAATAAAAAAAAAACATTAAATTCACCCCCCCAAAAAAGTTCAATACTAAAAGCAAGAGGATTTACTCTTGTCATGTTACTCTTTAGAGCTTTTAGATAACCTTCTTTCTCCCAATGACTTTCTTTCATGGCAGTCAAGATTTTATTAAAAATATGCACTTTAAAAAATGATTGAACAATTTTTGTATTTGGGGATGTTCTGAAACTTCTCATATGCAGTATTGCAATTTGTGATGATCTGTTTTAACTGATGGACCAATGTCCTGCATCAGCAATGTGTGGAATGACCTCTTATTAGACATATTCTCTAATATTATGACAAGCAAGTGTGTGTATATGTATAACTGAAAGTGAATTTGTATTTTCTTACTGATTTGTGAATTAGATAATTTATTCATCTCTGAAAGGAACAGCTCATTTAAGATTTTTTCTCCATTAGCTGATGATTTGTTCTAACAGAGTAGGGACAATTTAAGACACTGTATTTTATCTAGTTACACAGTAACTTCCTCAGACTGCATCATAATCTGATTTAAACAAATGTCTGAATGTCACAATAAATGTCACATTTACACTGTCCAAGATGCACTACAACACCAAGAGATATGTGATTCTCTCAGTCATATTCTTGGGCAAAGGCTCTAGGGAGGTAAGAAAATTAAGTTAAAAAAATGCTTTCTCATCTGTCACCTGTCCCTGCATTTAAGCAAATCTTGTACTTGTATGTATTTTCCCTAGACATAGGCAATTTCCACTTTTTTATCATATGCTCTTTTTTTCTGTGTCCATTTATTCTCTTTTCAGTAGGCTGTGCGCACAGAGTAAGTTGTTCTTTCAGTTTGGAAATTTTTCTATGGATCCAATGACTGTATAATTCAAGAAGTGACAGATGCAGGGATATACAGTATTGTGTCACATTGGATAGTGAAACATTCCTTTTTTAGAACAATAAAGGGTAAGACAAGAAACAAAAAAACAGAAAGAAGTTGTAATTCTTAATTTCTGGTGAATGATAAAAACATACATAAACTAAATCTTACAGAAAATATCCAAAGCAATGCAAAGAGAAAAGCCATTAATTCTG